TAGGCCCTGCCACGCCCCTGCTTTGAACGGGAGAAATTCACTCTCTTACTCTTCAGAGGGCAGAAGTCTGGAATCAAGGTGTCAGTTGGGCCCTGATTCCTCTGGACACTCTAGGAAATAATCCCTCCCGGCCTCCTCCAGCTTCGGTTGGCTCCAAGCCCTGTGTTTCTTGAACAAATGGGCAGCTGAGTCCTGGGCTTCTGGAGGAGGCCTCTCACGAAGGACACAGGCTAGAAGCCAGGAGCAAGGCCCCCAGCCTGCAGTGTGCTCAACACTTTACAGCCCCATAAATCCCTAGCCGGCGGCATGATTAGGACTGAGTCAAAATGCAAGAAATTTAATTTCCCAGGGCTCAGCCTGCAGGGCCTTGTAAACTCACCCCCCTGAACCAACAGCCATAAACGTTTGATAAAACACCTCATGGCTTCCAGTTTCCCAGAAATGGTTCCTGGGCCCAGGGAAGAAGCTACGTTTGGCGCCCCCTAGCTGTCTGTGACTTGAGCGTTACAATTAATGTTTGGTAGAGCTCTTCCTAATGGCCTGGGCTCTTTATGGCGGTGTCAATAGCAACGAAGGAAAGCACCCCACCAGTCCCCTCATGAGCCCATACAGATCCCAATTCAGTAAGTCTGGGCAGGGCCTGCAATGTGCATTTCTTCCCAGCTCTGAGCAATGCTGAGGCTGCTGATCTCTGGACCATGTGAGTCATGGGTGGTGGGTGATATGTGCCAGGGTGCTGCAGGCTTAGAAGGGTCAGTGTTGGGTAAGGGTCCTCCCAGGGGGAGTTGGGTGTGAGCCACCTGGAGATACTGAGGTCAGCTGGAATGGTGGCCCCCTGCCCTCTGAGACTGTGAAGGATCTGGGTGTTCCATATTCAGGGACTTTCGGCAGATGGCCTCAAGGACCGTGACTGGCTTCTCTGCTTTCACAGAGGGATTTGCAGAGCTGACACATTTTTGGGAATGACACCCAAGGGAACAGCCGGGGTCAGGTGATGCCAAGTTCCCTAATTCACCTGAACTCAGATGAGTCAGCTGGAACAGAAGCCTGGGGACCACAATCCGACCAGGACTCAGGCTCTGGACCAGGCCCCCCTTCCCTTAAGGGTCTAAAGAACCCAGCAAACTCTAGTCACTTTTTCTCTGTGGTGAGAACCTCATATTTTGCCCTTAAGAAATGGGTGTTGACATGCTTTCACATTATTAGCGAAAATGGCCAGTCGAGAAATAAACCACCACTTTTATTTATGGTATATTTCCCAGAACTCACAGAAACGCCATGCTTTTCTGCATAGACCTCCGACCAAAGCATAATGTATCACAATACATCAAACCTCACAGTACATAAAACTCTCCCTACCTTATAAACACATACAAGGAATCGCTCACTCGTTACATAAATTACTTAACATCCCCTTTGTACACATCCTTTCAAAAGGATTTCTATTCCTGAGAAGAACTTTTTCTACCAGGAGTGGTCTTTGCAGTAGCTGCAGGAACAATTAAAATGGGAAAGGGAGAAGTTATAACAAAGCACTCGATGGGAGAGAAACCCATCCCAGAACAGCCTGGAGCAGAATGTGTTGTTCTAACCATGAAATGTCACCTTCTTATTGAAGTTCAATGTTTCAAAGTGAGAGATAGAAATAGAGCAATATTGTAAACAGCCTAAGGACAAGGACCATATCTAGTTTTGTTCAGCATTGTATCCATGGCACATAGTAGATGCTCAATAAATACCAAATACCATTTGAAGAGGGAGGGAGGAAGGGAGCCTGCATAGAATGTAAATGTATCAGTTATCAACTGCCACAGTAATGCTGCATAACAAATGTCCCCAAAACTCACTGACTTAAACCAACTACTATTTTTATTACTGCTCACTAGTCTACAGGTTGGCTGGCAGGTCTTCTGGCCTCAGCTGAGCTCACCCACATGTCTGACAGTCAGCTAGCCAGAGTTGGCTATTGGGCTGATGGCCTTAGTTGGGACAACTGAGCTCTCTCCTACATGTATGTGTCTTTTGTGTTTGGGTCTGCACATGTTCTCTGGCTAGCCCAGGCACATTCTCATGGTGACTGCTAAAGTCCAAGAGAGCAAGTGGAAATAGACAAGCACTTTTTCCAGCCTCTCTTGCATTGCTGCTAATATCCCATTGGCCAAAGAAAGTCGCATGGTCTAGCCCGGGTTAAGAGGGGCTAGGAGTTACAGGACAAAGGGCATGGATACAGGGAGAACGTTAACTGGGATCACCAATGCAGCCAGCAACCATAATATTGGTTCCAAATTCTCACCAGCCCCCACCGCACCCCAAATCCCACCCCATATTCAATGTGCTAAAAGCCGATGGAAAAATAGATGACATTCTAAGGGCCCCATTCTCTATGTGGGAAAAGTCAGGGCCCGAAGTCAGGCTCTTCAATCAGAGTCACAGTTATTTAAACCAGCATTTGCAAATCCTAATACCTACAGGAGACGCGCAGGTAATAATTACTGAACCAGACCAGGCAGGGGATGGAATGAACCGAAACGACTCTCCCCATCTCCCCAGGGGCAGCTTGGCAGCCATGCAGCTCAAAACAACGAAGGCCTCACAAGAATGCAGGCCCAGAGCTGCTCGCTCAGCTGATTAGCAAAGAGAAGCTGGTAACAGGCATTTTGAAGTTCATACTGTATAATCATATCTTCAAGTTAGGCACTATTTTTTTAAAAATGTAACCACATTCTAGGGCCTATCTATAGGCCTGCGTCTACCGGCTCTTATTTCAAACACTGCATTTTAGGGATCTCAAGCCCAATCTTAAATTCAATGAATCTGCTTCCCCATGGGTGAGAGGTCAGATTTAGAAATTGAGGCTCAGGGAGGGAAAGTGACTTGCCCAAGGCAACACAGCAAAAAAAAAGACACAAACCTAGGGACTAGAACACTGATCTCTCCACCATAGCTCTTGAGTCTTAATTCTTCCTGAAACCTAAAAGAGAACACACTAAGCCCAAAGTACAAAATCCCTTCTGGATTTCTCCAGGGGAGCACAGACCCTCCTGTCCTCTCTGGGTGAAATGGGTAGAAATTAGACTTGAAGCCATTAGAGGCCAGTGCCCAAAGCAGGAAGTGCAAACGCAAATAAGGGAGACAGAGTTTTCACCAGACAAATCGCGCCCTGCTCAGTTTAGACATTAAAATGAACTAACTTAATTTCATGCCATATGCAAATCCTTACCAGCTGTCGGCTCTGTAATCACAGGAGACTTAATGTAATAACTAAACAAGAACAGAAACGCAGCAAATACAGGCTATGGGCAAGTCCACTGACAGCGGGTTTCATGTTCCTGGGAGCTCAGCAAATGCAGAGCATTTACGGCGGACATCTGGAAACCCCAATGCCTGCCATCGCCTCCAAGAAAACGCCTGCCGTGACCATAAATAATGGCTTAAGGACTGATCGGGCTCCTGCATACCCTGAGGCCCCATGGACCGTGAACATCTCTCTCCAGACCCCGCAGCTTCTCTCCAACTGTCAAGGTTCAGATCTGTCCAGCCATCTGGACCGAGCACTCAGAAGTAGCCAAAAGATGTCTCCTGCTCACTGGAACCAAAGAGATGGGACCAGGGACTAGGGGGTTGTCTTCCAACCTGAGGACCCCACGTTCCTCTCACTGCCCAAGCTAAAAATAATAGCAGACACTGAGCAAACACATACCATGGGCCAGAAGCCAAGCGCACCACCTTCATGAATTATCTCAATGTTTCCCAAAGCACGGAGGATGATTTCATGTTTTCTGTTCATTCATTCATCTATTCATTCAGTAAACATTTATTACACATCTATATGGGCCAGGCACACTGGGCTGGGGAAACAGCAGCAAAGAAAATACGCAAAAATCCCTGGCCTTGTGAGGCTAAATTTCCGGTATGACAAACCTTTTAAAAACATAGTTACAGTGTATGTCAGGGAAAAAATCCTTTGCACCTACGATGGCACCAACATATTGCCTCAGGGTGAAGCTCTAAGTTTAAAAGTTGACTAGGAGAAAAATGTTAAGTAAATCATAGAACAAGTGATTCAGAGATGGGTCAAAGGTGCTACTGTTAGTCCCATTTTGCAGCTCAGGAAACTGAGGCTCTGGGAGATGAAGTCATTTGCCTGGGATCACATAGCTGGGACATGGTGGAGTTCAGATATGCAAGTTATGCAGGTTCGGATCCGGTGTTTTAACCATGGGACGGAGCCAAAGTGGAGCATCAGGGGGCCTGTTTCATTCTAACATTCGGTTCTCTATTCACACGGCTTGTGGCCCCTCTCTGAAAATCCTGCCAAGAGGTTATGCAATTTCCCCTTGTTCAGGTTTCAGGGTTGAGGATCAGCCTCTTTCATGTCCTTCCTTAAGTTTGGGGGCCAAGACCCCCATTCGCAACAGCCTGACTCGGGGCCCATGGCAACCACCAGGATCTCACTTACAGGAGACCCCCCTGCCATCCCCACAACCCACCGCTCATTCCCCACACCCAAAGCGCCCGATCGCAAGTACAGGGTTCATGGCCGTGTCTGTCACTGGCACGCAAGCCTTTAAAATTTAAAGAGCATGGTATCAAGCTGGCCTCTCAGCAGTCTGTAAGGACACGTTGAAAGTGATCATTAGCAACGTTCCTCAGCCTTAAAAGGGAAGGAAATTCTGCCACATGCTGCCACATGGCCGGCCCCTGAGGACAGCATGCTAAGTGAAATAAGCTGGTCACAGAGACAGCTGCTGTGTGATTCTGCTTGTATAAGGCACTTAGAACAGTCAGGGTCATAAAGACACGAGGCGGAAGGGCAGGGTGGTCAACCCGGCTGCGGGGAGAACAGACCCAGATGATAGTCTCAGAGAAACATCTTCATGAAGTGGAAGAGGTGGCTTTTCAGTGAATCTCCGAAAAAGAAAAAAGGCCTGTAAGAATGCAATCGTCACAGTGTGATGCGGCGCCTGGCACCTGGCACTTGGCACCTGGTCAGCACTCACCCGTTGTGATCGTCCATCTCCCACCCCAGCCTCCAAAAGAGGGAGGCGTGGAGATCATGTCCGCTCCTGCTGGCGTGACACCTGTCCTGCGGCGCTCCGAAGGGGCCACTTTCCCCACCACAGTCTCAGAGCAGCTGGGAAGGCTTGAGATGGAAGGGGGAGGGCGGGGTGGTGGCCTTGAAGGAACCTGCTCCCTTCTATCCATCTCGAGCCCGAGGGCTAATCTGGCAGCTGCACCCCCGCCAATGAATTGTTCTCAGAGAGGCTGGAGACACCGCTGTTGTCGTTGGAGAAACCATGAAGAACCTTAAGGAGGCAAAGAATAAAAATGCTGAAAGAAGCCAGTCACAAAGGACCACCTATTGTGTGATTCCATTTATAGCAAATGTCCAGGACAGAGAAATCTATCCAGACAGAAAACAGATTGCCAGGGGCCAAGGGAGGACAGTGGTGGGGAAAGGGAATGATCACTAAAGGGTATGGGATTTCTTTTCGGGGTGATGAAATGTTCTAAAATCGATTGTGGTGATGGTTTCACAATTCTGTGTGGGTAATAAAAGCCATTGAGTTGTACACTTTAAATGAATGAATTGTGTGCTATGCGAATTATATCTCGAGAAAGCTGTTATTAACAAACAAAAGTTGCCTTGGCTCTGAACTTAGTTCTCTGATTCCTCTAAGCTCTCCAAAGCCGCCACAGTCTCTCTGATTAGGGCTGCCCTCATTTCACAATAATCTTTAAAGAGCATTTTCTCCCCACCTGAAAAGAGACCCCTTGATGTCCATCTAAAAGCCCTCCTAGGAATTCTTATCTATTTAAAAGAGGGGAGTGCCTATTAAAAGCTTGGCTTTCTTCGCTAGCCAAGCACCCATGTTAATTTCCTTGTCTCCACATTACTATGGCAACCGAAAGCTCCACCAAGAGAGCTTTGGGGTCCATCCAAAGGGACTGCGATCTGGACCCAGGGTGAAATGCAGACTCTCTGCACAGCAACCCCATGCCCTGGCTGCCTCACTGATGGATGCTGCCGGAGGGGCAGCCTGCAGTCAGTAGAGCAGGGACGTCTGAGAAAGGGGAAGGTGCAGACAGGCCCCTGTAGGTCTGCGTTCCATGCTGGCCAAGTGGCCACCCTGAGTCACCATCACCATGCAGGTCACATCTTTTAGAGGCCATGATATAAAACGGCATCGGGAACACCTGAGCTAGTCTCCATGTCTACAGGACCATATTTTTTGGCAGAAGAATGCAATGTCTCCGGCCAATGAGAGTGACACGGCCTGAAAGCTTTCATTAAACAGCTGGGGGAAAGGCAGTCAGCAAATGGGAGCCCATTGCTCTCACAGGTAAGTCTCAGGCCTCCAGGCTCCTGGCCTCCGGGCCCTGAAGACTCATCCACACCAGGCCAAAGGGGCCTGAAATGTGGCTCTGCCACTTGCTTGCTATGTGACCTCAGACTAATTACCTAACTTCTCTGAGCCTCACTTTCACCTTCCCTAAAATGGGTTTAATGATATCTACTTCATGGCATGGTTAAATACTCAATAAACTAATACATATAAATTACTTAGTATACAGTAAGTGCTTAATAAATGGTAGTTACCACTACCCATAAGAAAATAATGTGACAAGTACAGTTATTTCCACTTATAGCCAAGATACAGGAGGATCAGAAAGGTTGGAGGACTTTATTGGTCTGGAGTGAGTCCAGGTGTGGGTGGTTTTTCTTAAAGGTCCCCAGGTGAGTCTTAGAGAAACTCTACCCTAGAAAAACTTCCATACACGTGCCAAAGAACCAGACAAGAATTTCACTGCTATAATGTTAGTAACAGGGAAGAATTGGAGATGATCCAAATGCCCTTCATGGGGTAAATGAGAAAAACATTCTAAATGGAATACTACACAGCAGTGTAAAATGAACGGACCAGATCTAAGTGTATTAGCATGAATATAAATCTCTAAAATATAATACTGACACCCCCCAAAAGTATGCAGAAGGATACATAGAGTATATATAACATGTCCAAGCATGCAGAACATTTCTATACATCATTCAGGAATATATACATATGGGGAGAAGCAAGAGGCCATTAATGGATATAGTAAGCATCAAATTCAAGGCGGTGGTTACCTCTGGGAGGGAGGGGAGGGAATGTAATGGGGGAGGGGATGCCCTGGAGCTTGGTGCATTGGTAACATGATACGGTATTTTTTAAAGTGGGTGCAGGCACACAGGTACCCATTGTATTAGCTATGCCTCCTGTATGTCTGAAATATTTCATAATTTCATAGAAAAATATCTAGTAGAGTTGTGCATGGGTATTTTTCTTCTTGTTATTTGTGCCTCCTATTATATCTATAATGATTCATCTAGCTTTTAAGAAATACAGGAGTTGGTAATTTAACAAGAAAAAAACAACTTATGTTTCGTTTTTTGGAAGTAAGAAATATCACGTCGGCAAATGACTTGCTCTGAAAACAACACTCATTTGCATGTCTGAGATCTTAATAAATTGGTGAAAATCAGTTCAACACAGGATGTATGACATGTGCAACATCCTGAGTCCAGAGCATGAGCCATCAGCCCAGGGATACCCACACAGGGTCCCCAAAACTCTGCTTCTGGGAGGTGCCTCAAAAACTGGGCCTGACCTCACTGGGTATGCCTCACAAGAAGGATTAGTAGTCAGGGAGGAGGCTGCTGGAGTCTCTTCGGCAGCATCCTTAAATTAGGAGGGAAAAAAGTCCAAGCAGGCTGGGAAATGAGAGCAACCTGGGGTGAAGGGAGAGAGAACTAGGGTGGTGTATTTTCTTTTAAATGAAGTCCAGTCATTCTGGAGCCATTCAATGCAATACAGCCTTCAGTCGGGGAGTTTTGTGTTTTCTAAGCAATCGGATCTGCCTCTGCCAGCATGAAGTGCCTGAACGCTGTTTCTTAAAGACGCATAAGGGTTTTTTGTTTTGTTTTGCGTAATGGACACATTTCCCATGCAGCCACTTTCCAGGTTCTTTGTCAAGTGTCAAGGTAAGCTTTTAGAAAACCCCTCTGTGGGCCACTGGGAGGCAATTTCCACCCAATACAGAATACTTAAGATGGAGAAAAACAACTTTTCAATATCACTTCAGGGACCATATTTTGTTCATTTAATACAGCTGAATGCAGACAAAGTCGAGAAAGAAAATTGAGTGTGCTCTCCTGACAATGAGGATTGAAGGAGGGAAGCGACGCCCGGTGAGTTACTACCCCCTGGTGGCCACCGACAGGGGTGCACTCATTTGCCGAGGGTCATTTGTGGCACTGCTGCCTGCATTGCCTGCCACCATCTCCTGCCCATTTTATTTATTTTTTCTTATAGCCATTTTCAGGGACCTTAATGACTTCAATGTCTTTAAGGCTCATAACATCGCTTTTCTATTGCCAGCTTTCTGTAAACTTCTGCAGAATCACATTCAGGTAAGCTGACTCATTGGCTGGCTTCCAGCCCCTTTTGAAAGACTTTAAGCAGGGATCTGGCAACTCTCTGTAGCTGGCAGGCAAACATGCCAACTGTTTTAAAATCTGGAGATTCTGTTTAAAAATCTAGGTCTGACACATCTTTTGAAAAATTGGAAAATCTGTCAATTCCTGGACTGCGCCCTAGTATAATAAATGTAGGCTAGAGCTGAGAAGCTGCTGCCTGCATTGGACAAGACAGGTGCTCTCACATTCTCCAGTCTCCCCACCTCTCCCTATTGTCTCATGCCTGGGCAGTTTTACTCACTAACGGTTCTTATATAGCTTCTGGATTTGCACCCACGGCCAAAACTCATTAAAGAGTTTGCACTGGCATCCCGAGGAGTGAAGAAAGGATGGTACCTTTGAAAGTAGATGATTATATCTTATGCCTAGGAGAGGACAAAGGTCCACAAGCCCCCTAATACCTAGTTCAGTGCAAGTGAGTGAACTGCTCAAGGTCACACAACTAGTAAGTAGTGGGCCCTGCATTTGAACACACACACATCCGTCTGACCTCAGAGCCTCACGGCTTTCCACTACACCAACCATCCCCCATAATTAGCTGCTTACATAGCAGGCCTTCCTCTGGGTGTTTACATTACTGCTTGAGCCATCAGAAGTGAAATTCAGGGAACTCTGAGAAAACAGTGTTCAAGACCTTTGTTCAAAAGAGAGAAACAAGAAGCCTCAGAAATAACCACCATCCAGACTTTGTTTCTTAAAAACGCCACGGTTGGTCCTACTTCAGATATTTCTTATTCAAGTCAACAACATTTCTCCAGCATCCTTGCCAAGGGCAGGGAATTGGGGGAATTGGGGGCCTGGTCTAAGCAATAAACAGGGAGCCCAAACAGCAAGGGCCAAAGCTGTTCGGTCCTCACCTCTCAATGTCTCCACATGGTGACTTTCACGACATCACACCTCTGGCCTGGGCCTGAACACTTCCTTTTGTGATGAAGGTCTGCGGCTTCCCTAAAACTGGACTCCGACTGAGACCTACCAGGTTGCAACAGGGTCTCCCTGTAGTGGCTGGAGCAAAGCTGCAGCTCTTGACAGTTTCTTCTGCGGGTAACAAAACAGCGACGACTTGGTGTGTTTTCTAGGGACAGCTGCAACAGCAGACACTTGTCACTTCGCCCACACACAAAACCCTAGAGGATGTACTGTCATCACGTTTTCCCAACCTGACGAAAAGCTAACGGGATCCGCGAGGTCAAAGCGCTGAATGTACTCAGTTCCCAAGCAGTAGACGTGGGGTTTGAACTCGGGGCCGGGTGACTCCAGTGGTGACACCCACACCCACTCCTTCCCAGGGGCTCCCCTAAGGGAAGGTGCGTTGTGCAGGAGGTCAGATCTGGAAGGGTCAGGCCTTTTGCAGCCCAGGCCAGAGCTGAGCTGTACCACCCCCAGAGAGGAGTGGAGCTGTCACAGGGGGGCCCAGATGCCACACGGGGGGCTGCCTCTATTAGGCCACCTCAGGGCCTGCTGTCCCCCAGCTGTGCTGTTTCACGACCGAGCTGTTTTCTCTGAGTAGTCTCCCACTTCACCACCATGAATTGACGCCAACGACCATTGGTTGACATAACATCTCAGTGCTCAGCATTTGGGCACCTCCTGGAGGTTTCAATATTTTGTGAATTAAAGTTGGAGGTTTCCAAAAATAAAAAAAATTAAAATGGGAGGTTTCAGCTTTCTGCATGAAAGAAAAAACCCCTCTGTCTCTCTGGCCAAAACAAGCAGCCAGGCCCTGCAGGGGAGGGTCCAAATTAAAAAGCAGGGAGGAAAACAGGGGGCGAGAGAAGGGGGAAAACGCAGCGCTGGAGGCGCAGGGAGGAGGCGGATTGCCGGGCAGGGGAGTCAGGCCACCGGGGTGCACGGGCGCACGTCACCGATACCTCAGGCTGCACCTAAGGAAATGAGGCCGGGAGGGACGCGGGCGGAACGGCGCGTTTCCAGCTGCCC